ATGTGACTTTACCCTGAAGGAAACTGTAAACCACTACGTCACCATGGTGATTAAATTAACATCATCAATGACAGATTGTGTTGGTAGTATGTGCCTTCGGTACGATATGATAAGAATGGCACTTGTTTTCAAAATCAAGTGAAGTCTCAGTGAACTAGCACAGCCAAAGGGCATTTAAAGAGACATGATGAAAAAATGTAATGGAGTATCCGCAGGGGATCCTGGGACAGAAAATAGATTTTCAAGACAAGGAAATACATGTGAATTAAGTATGTTTGTTAATAAAGAAAGGATGTTTGCATAGGAATAGTACCAGCTCTTTTTTAATAACCACGTGTTAACTTACTTGCCTCTGAGATAATCCCGTCTCCAAATAATGCCACATGTTAATTTCAACATAAGATTTTAGTGGGGATGCAACTGAATCTGTAATAGTGGAAAGGGAATTGGCAGACCTATATGTATATTGTTACCCATGTGTAGTTATAAACACAGACATAAGCTCGTATATGCATAAATTTTATTTTAAAAATCACGTCTTTCTCAAAATTCTAAATCAGCTTTTAAATGTAAACACCACATGGTTAATTGTGGAAACTACTGAATAGGGGGCTGAATTTTGGAGGAACTTTCCAAAGGGGAGAATTGTGATTTCTATCTCCTTTTAAAATATTTGCAATAAAAATATACGCAGTATTTATTTGTAAGGAAAGTATTGAAATAAGCCTAAGAAAAGGATGATGAGCAGTCTAGGAGGCAGATAAAGTAACAGTAAGCTCATGGAACAACAACAAAAAAGCCTTGATTTTTACATGACTTAACACAAGTTTACTTTTTTGTACAGAAATTCTGATTTTAGTTGGCAGGGTATTATGGGCTGAATTTTGACTCTCCCCCAAAATTCATATATCCAAGTCTTCAAACCCAGTATCCCAGAATGTGACTGTATTTGAAGATAGAAACTTTGAAGAGGTAATTAAGGTAAAATGAGGTCTTAAGGTCAGGTTCATATTTAATATGACAGGTGTCCTCATAAGAAGTGCAGATTAAGATACAGACACACAGACCGAGGAAAAATCATGTAAGAATTCAGTGAGAAAGTGGCCATGAGCAAGCCACAGAGAGGCCGGGGAAGAAATCAAACCGGTTAACATCTTGATCTCAGATATTTACCTTCCAGAAATGTGAGAAAATACATGGGTATTGTTTAAGTCACCCAGTCTGTGGTACTGTGTTATGGTATAATAAACTAACCGACAGCGGGTCCTGGCTTTCACCTCAGCCAAGAATCCAAGCTGCTTTCACCTTGTCCCTCGACATCACAACAGATGTTAAGTGCTGAACAGAAACGAAAGCATGGGAGTGGTGCACTGGCTTCTGTCTAACTACAAATGAACCAGCCAGGAAGGCGAGCTAGACAAGATGGAGATGGGTGCTTGTCGTCTCTCCCATATGTTATTACGGTGCTCAATGAAAAGCAACTATTATAATTAATGACAGTAAGTCTCTTCATTGCTTGGGATTGTTTCTGGGAATGTCCGCATAGCCTTGAAATCTTCCAACTTTTTCTTGCACCTACGAGGTGACTGGTGGTTTCAAATACAGGATTACATCCAGTTTTAAAACAATTCTGTAAGTCTTGGCAGGGAGGGTCAACCTTATTCCCTCAATAGCACTTGGCACTGTCCTTTTTTTTTTTTTTTTTTTTGGAGACAGAGTCTCGCTCTGTTGCCCAGGCTGGAGTGCAGTGGCCGGATCTCAGCTCACTGCAAGCTCCGCCTCTCGGGTTCACGCCATTCTCCTGCCTCAGCCTCCCAAGTAGTTGGGACTACAGGTGCCCACCACCACGCCCGGCTAATTTTTTGTGTTTTTTAGTAGAGATGGGGTTTCACCGTGTTAGCCAGGATGGTCTCGATCTCCTGACCTCGTGATCCGCCCGTCTCGGCCTCCCAAAGTGCTGGGATTACAGGCTTGAGCCACCGCGCCCGGCCGGCACTGTCCTTTTAATAACCTATATAATTTCTTCAGGCTGAGAATTCTCTCATATTTTTGGTGTATGATAAATAATCTACCCTTTGAGCCTCTGCTACCCTGCATATGACGGAACATTCCTGAACAGCTATACATGTGCCTGTGGCTCACTGCAAGCCAGGATTTTCCTGTGGAGCAGGTACACACACAAGAGATAGCGGAAGGATGTTTAACTATTGTTTATTTCTCATCAGAGCTGGCATGTCCCCCAAAGTACCCTGGTCAACTCCTAGACAGTCTTCAATATTTTGTGATTGTTTTGCTTTTTTTGGAAATTTGCCTTCTTATAGATTATTTACAATGTGATGTCTATAGCCTTTCCTCATCCACAAAGTTTATGAAGGAAATATTGGCATGTGATCATCTACAAAAGCTTATTCATCTCTGTTTGTGTTCAGTGCCCTGTTTCAAATAATGCATCTCATTAAAATCATACTACAAGTATCAAATATTAGGAAGATTTCAAATAAGCTATATCTGACCTTAGAATTACATCCCCAAAACCCATATATTATGTGGCAAGTCAGATTTTACTCTGCAGCCTATTTGGTAATACGTTGATCGTGTGTTGAAGATGCCCAGCCTAGGTATGGAAATGTCACTATCCAAAGTGAATATTCACATCGAAAGGCCATTATCACAGAGGAACCAGGAAGAGGGATGGATGAGTCAGGGAACTTCTGCAGGGAGTAGGAATGGTCTATCTCAGGGGAAGGCCAGGTGCTTCTAGGCTCTTGCGCTGAGAGTTGAGCAGCCACCTCCAGGCACTCTACACCAGGAGAAATAGGGGCTAGTCTCATATCTATTCTGGTGCACATGTGACTCCTCAGTCCTCACACTTCAGAAAGTGAGACCGTAATGAGAAGTTAGTCAGGAGACCGGGTCCCAGAGTTGCGCAAGAGGGCACACAGGGGAGATCAAAAGGAGGGGCAGGGGGCTGTAATGGGAAAAATTGCTGGGGACGGACAAATCTGTCAGCACCTGGACATTCAGCTCTCAAGAAACCTAGTGCTTAGAACAAGAGGACTTTACGTAAAGAAAGCCAATAATGTTCCCCGAAGTGTATTTTATTCCCATTTGACCTTCCATCTTGCTGCCTAACTTAATACCTTAGCCACACGGTTCATCTTTATTTCACCTGAGAGACATTAAGAAGTGTGAAAAGAAGTGATTTAACAGGCAAAGGCCTTCCTCAGGCTGGGAGGAGTGGGGACAGTGTGGGCCTAAATGAATTCAGACCAGGGCTCATGTCACAACCTTGTCACATTCTAGCTATGTGGTCTTGGGAATTTATCAAGCATTATGAGCCTCAGGTTCTTCATTTGCAAAATGAGTTTGATAAGCCTTGTCTTGTAGAATTGCTGGAATGTATGTAATGTGAATAACACACCTGCCACAGTGCCTGGCACCTATTGGAATCTTCATAAATGGCAGTTGTTATCAATGATTACCACACCAAAGGTTACTGTCTTTTGTGAAATGTTCAGCTCTTAGTTTTGTTATCCTAAACATCTGAGAATATGTAGGCGAATGTGTCATGGACTACTACCAGCTTAACCAAAACTTTGGCTTCATAAATAAAACTCAGTACATTTTTTTTCTGAAAGGGTATATTGTATAATTTGGAAAAGGCAAGGCATCTTCAGCTGGAATGCAACTCAAAGATGCTAGAATTTGAGTCAAACACCAACTCCTTTATACCTTCCCCATTGCTCATCCTTCCAAACCACTATTTTTATTTATCCTCCAGTAAAAATCTAGCCCTTGCTTACAGTTGCCCACATTACAACTGAAATAACCTAATTACATGTCTTTCAATGGAGTAGGCTCTGGTTTTCCCAAGCCAGGCAATTAAGTGCCAGCCTAGAGGCTTCTGAGCAACACTTCAAGGGATTATCACCCTATGTCTCAGGAAACCCTTGCAGATGATGGTTATCAATCACCTAGTTCTTGCACTGTGTTCAAGCTCACCAGTTAAAGAGCTGCAAGACACCTTCTATTAATTCCCCGTGTGGAGACTCCTCTCTGCCTCATCCTCCACCAGAAGGAACTACTCAGAGCAGTTTTCCATTCCAGGTTTTTCTATCACCTTCTGAGAGTCTGGGCCCTGCCACCACCCAGCTTCATAACAATCAGCTCCCACAGAAGCACCAGAAGTTTCCCGAAGGGCAAAACTGTCATAGCTCTGGGCCTTTTTTACTTGAAGGCTCTATCTGCAGTTTCACCTCCCCACTCATTTTTAAACTAGTTTTTATGATTCTATAGAGTATCTTACCACGCTCCTGATACGGCTTCTGAACCTAGACTCTAACATTTTATGGGTGGAGATAAGTCTTGGTTTTTATAGTATCCTCATGACTAAGAGCATGCTCCACAAGCAACTGCTCAAAGAATGTTTAGCAAATAGTCACTGAGGCTTTTATTTATTAAGATTTAATTTCTGCTACTTTCTTGAATAAGCCAAGCAAAGCCAGGTATATATCCTTAATTTGGAGGAACAACAGAGTAACATGATAAGGATATGCAAATATCAACCGTACTTTATTCTGTTCCACAATTTAACTGCAGAGTTATTTCAAATTTTAAAGAAAATTCTTATCCGAACACCACATTATATTGTTTCAGTTCACAAAATAAGACAGATTTTCCCTTTGTTTCTTATGAAATATCAAACTCTCCCTTAAATCAGACAAACAGCAATACAAGTGTGAATAATATTCATAAACTAACATTCTGAAGTGAATTAAACCAATTGGAAGGAGAAGCATTTGTAAAATATACCCCCCTACACAAAAAATGTTAAACTCTTAAGTCACTCATATGAAACAGAAACACAAAAAACACTGTGGTCCCTCCACCTCCACTCTGGACCCCCACTGCCTAGAACCTCGTCTGCCATCTTCAAACACAGAGGGGAAATCTGCTTCAGACATCACTCAGGACAGAAGTTGGTGGACGTGATACTGGGGCTTGCACTGGCCGTGGCAGTAGCATCATCTGTGGTGTCAATTATGGCCTGGGCTCTGTCTTCCACATCTTTCAAAGCATCCATGTACCAGGATGGAAATGAACTAGGGATGATACTGGATACCTTGGCTAAAAACTCTAGGACTTTTCTCTTGCTGGCCTCTGAATGGGCTCTTGGACCCCACAAGAATTCATAACGTGGAGGAGCGTTGTTGGGCACCTCCCGGTACTCCAGGTACTTTCTCTGCACCCAATCTATAATGAGCAGCTTTCTGGGGTTCCCATATATAAAGTGCTCCCTCCCAGCACACACCCCTATTGCACTCAACACTTCACAGAGGACCTCCTCAGGGACACAGCTGCCCTTTATGGAGATCATACTGAGAATAAGAATCAGGAGACAGTTCTGGGGCATGCCCTGGTCATCCATCAGGCTTCCCTCATAGGTGAGGCCTAATGGGTCTTCAAAGAAATAGGAGTGGTTGTCCGGGTCCATCTCAGTCAGGGCAATGCCAAAAATTAGCTCTATGAGCTCATGGGCTTTCCCGAATATCATAGGAAAATAGTCGTTATACTTCTTGATGACAGTCGTCAGCATCTCTGCCTTTGGGACAGGTTCTTTTGTTTGATATTTGAGAAGAAGAAACTGCACCAACTCAGCCACCTTTTCATCCAGGGCATACCTGGGCAAGGATTCACTTTCTGGCAAGGCCTGCCAGATAGCTGTATCCTCCTCTTCTTCACTGCTGGACTCCTCATCCAATCGGGTCCACAGAAGAGGGGATGAGCAGGAGTTTAGAGGACTCTGGGGAGGACTCTGTGGAGGACCCTGGGGAGAGATCTTGGGAGGACCCTGGGGAGGAATCTCAGGAGGACTCTGGGGAAGAGGTGGCATCCCAGCAGCAGGCATATCTTCATCTTCTGGAGCACCCAGAATCAGAGTAGAGGGTGAGGATGAGGAAGAGGAAGAGGAGGAGGGGAATGAAAAATGGAAAGAGGAAGGGGAAGTGGAGGAGGCTTCCTTCTCTTCCTCATCTATGGAATCCTGTGCATCTACCAAGTCCTCTATCACACTGGGGTCCGGGAAGTCTGCCTCAAAGCTGAGGCCTGGAAGGTTTGGAAAGAGAGGCATGAGACCTGTTGTTCAGGAGCAGCAGGTAAACGTGTGAGCAGGGATGGGGATGACAGGATCCCACAGGCCTGAGGAAGAGAGTGACAGTGTGAGTGGCTTCAGCTGAGAAACTCATCTATGATGGCTCTGACAAAGAGCGGCTTACAGCTCTTCTTCTCTTAAAGTGGTGCTCTAGGGCCTGACAGGTCTCCTGTCTTCCTAAGAGGTTTATTCCCTCAGAATCTGTAGGAGGATGGGAGAAAGCACCTCGGGATACAGATGCCAGGCAGAACCACAGGCTCCGGGACTGACAGTAGGTGGGTAGGGCCGGGTGCTGTGGGGTCTCCCCTGTTTGCGGGGGTAGGGCCCTTGGTACACAGTCAGGGTGGGCACTCACTTTGACTCCTGGCACTGCCTGGGCCTCCTCTGCAGTGCTGGTTTTAGGAAGTGTGCCTCAGACCCAGGTCTTCAACTGCTGGTTCCTGGAGCACCTGCAAGAGGAAGTGAGGGAGCCTCTCAGGCTAAAGAGTGCAAGCAGAGCCTTGGGCCTCCCAGGGCTGACAGCTGGGGCTGGCCAGACACCCAGAGCCCCACAGTTCTGGACTGCATGGTCCCATCAGAATTTAATGAGCATCCTCACCTTTTCTCAGACAGGGCCATGTCCCTACCACTCTTCTGGCCTGAGCCAAAACTTCAGAGCAAACTCCACATCCTTGAGAGCAGTGGGAGGTGGTGAGGTGGCAGCCGCCTCCCAGCACTCTACCAGGGGGGCAGTGGGGGTGGCCTCACATCTGTTCTGATGCACATGTGACCCCTCAGTCCTCTCTCTTATCCCCAGCAGGGCCTGGGAATCTTCCCTCTGCCAACTGGAGGCAGCTCTCCCTGATGACTTGCCAGGGGACCCCCAGACCAAGGCCTCCTCCTCCCCTACACCCCTCACCCAGCAGGGAGGCAAATAAGCCTAGAGACTCCGGCGGCCGCTCAGCCTGAGCTGGCAGGGAGCTCTACCAGGGCTGATTCTCGAGGAGCAGGGTGGGAATCTGTGGGAATCTGTCCTCTGAGGTGGGGGTTCCCCCAGTCCTCCTCAAAGTCTTCCTATTTATTCCCTAGAGGGCCGGCACCTCCTCCCTTCTTCTGTTGTGGGGACGCCACGGTCAGCCCCCAGCGGCCATCTTCCTGTCAGTGGCCTGCAAGTCCTACGGCAGGGCAGGGCGGACCGGGGCTGCTTCTCTCCTTGGTGAGAGGTCCCTCAGTTCTCCCTTATGCCCCTTACCTTGAGGATTGGCCAGGTCTAAGACTTCCCTCTGCTGACCTGAGTCCAGACTCCTCACAAAATGCCTCAGGTCCTTCAGACTCCCACAATGCAAGTCGGGAAAGCACATGCGAGAACCCTGCCAAGGTTGACCAGGGTTGACAGGAGGGGCAGCGTGGGGTGGGGCCTCCTCTCTATGGAAAAACCACCCCCCACCTCTCCACCTCCTTCCACCTTTTCCTGACCACTTCCCCACACTCCACTTCTTCCCACCCTCCTCAGCGCCCCTCCCACCCCTTTGTGCTGATCTCCCTACCCCCTCCCACCCCTTCCTGCCACCTCCCAGTCCTCTTTCACCACTTCCTCCCCTCCTCCCTGTCCCATCCCACACTTTCCCACCCTCCTCCCATTCCTCTTTCACCACTTCCTCTGCTTCTCCCTCTTCTCCCTGCCCCCTCCCACTCCTTACCACCCTCCTCCCTGCCCCCTTCCACCCCTTTCCGCCCTCCTCCCTGTCTCCTCCCACCCCTTCCCGCCCTCCTCCCTGATCCCTCTCTCCCCATAATGCCCACTTCCCCGCCCCTTCCCACCCTTTCCTGTTCACCTTCCGCCCCCCTTTCACCTTTTATTGCCCACATTCCCACCACTCCAACTCCTTCCTGCCCACCTTCCCACTCCCTCCCACCTTTTCCTACCCACCTCCCAACTTCCTCCCACCCCTGGGGCCTACCAACCTGCCCCTTCCACTCCTTCCTGCATACCTCCCCACTCCCACCTATTCCTGTCCACTTCCCAGCCCTTCGCCCACCTCTCCCTGCCCACCTCTCTGTTTTTGCCTCTCCACCTCTTTTGTCCAGAGGTGACAGCAAGGAGTGGCTGGGCGACACCTGGGCCTCCCCTCCATGTTGGGAGGTCACTGTCCTTCCACAGAGTTCCCTTCTTGCTTGTTGGCCAGCCCCGGGCCTCCTTTCTCTGCTTAACTGCAGCTGCCCGGTGTCTGAAATGAGGTGAAAAGGCCCCTCTGTCTTCCTCAAGGTTTTACTCCTTCCAGGGCCTGCACTCCCCCCTTCTCCTGTCCAGACAGCAACAGTTGTTCTGTCATCCTCTAAAATCCATTCCAAAACCTTCTACTTTAAGTACTGCTGTGTGTGAAGTTAATATAATCTCTCTCCTAAGCTATGTCAAAGGCTCCCTTCATTTTGCTTCTTTTCCTATCCTTGTCCCAGAAAAATCCATTGTCTTTTCAGCAGCCTATGTGTGATCTTTTTTAAAAAATTATTTTTTAAATCTTATTAATATGTTATTAATTTTTATTATAATTTTTATTAATTTTAAAAATACACTCATCAGATTTAACTGTTATGTGAAACTGTATGTATTTTGGCAAATGCATGGAGTTCCATATCTGCCAGCCAAGTGTCACACTGACCAGTTCCATCACCCGAAAAATCCCCTGTCCATCTCTTTTGAGGTCAGTCAAGGCACTTCTCCAAAGATTCTAGCACCTATGCTCTGTTTCCAGTTCATACAGTTTTAACTTTCACAATATGTCATATGAGTAGGTTCACAAAACATGGATTTAAAAGTGTGGCTGTATCATTTTTTATCTCAACTAGTAAGAAATGAGAATTCCTCTTGTTGCATAGCCCCTCTTACATTTAGTATTTGATTTTCAGATTTCAGCCATTCTAATAAGCCTGTGTTTGAATCTCCTTTGGTTTTTGTTTGTATCTTCCTAATGACAAATGACATTGGTCATCTTTTTTTATACGCCTTTTTCTGATTGGTATATTCTCTTCAGCAAAGTGTCTGTTCAAATCATTTGTGCCTTTTTAAAAACTAACAGACATCATTTTCAGAGCATTGCTAATCCAAAAATACAAAGAGAAAATTTCATCAAAGTTACAGAGTTCCCACATACCTCTGCCCACCTATTCTGCCCTATGCACACACACACACACACACACAGTGTCTCCTATTATTTATATTTTGTGTTATTATGGCACGTTTGCAACAATTGATGGACCTGTATTGATATTTCATTATTAGGTCAAGTCCACAGTTTACATCAGGAATCACTCGACGTTGGGGATGCTATAGGTTTTGATAAGTGTGTGATGGTGAATATTCATCATTACAGTATCACACAGACTTGTTACACCATTCTAAATCTCCTGTGTGGTCCACCTATCAATCCCCCTTGCCCCAATCCTAACCTCTCAGCCTCTGGAAACCACTGATATTTTTAGTGTATTCATAGTTACCTGTTTCTGAATATTGTGTGATTGGAATAATACATTATGTAGCCTTTTAAGATTTTCTTCTTTCACTTAGCCTTATGCTTTTATGATTCCTCCAGGTCCATCCTACCAACAATGACTGAAAGTTCCTGTTGCTCATCATATGGGTCAACATTTGATGTTTTGGTGTTTTGGATGTCAGCCATTCTCCTGGGTGCAGAGTGCTATCTCCTAGGTGCTTTAATTTGCAATTCTCAAATGACATATAAAATTGAAATATGCTCATTTTAAATTCCTATATATTCATTGTTTGTGTACCTGTTTATAGTTTTTTTCCACTTTAAATTGGGTTTTCTATTTTCTTATGATTGGGTTTTCAGCATTTTGTGCATATTTAAATATATATCTTTTATCAGATATGTGTTTCACAAAACATTTATCCCAGTCTCTGGCTTGTCTTTTCCTGATCTTAACAGTGACTTTTCAGAGTAAAAGTTTTTAGTTTTAATTAAGTCCAATTTATCTCTTTTTTCTTAGGTAGCTGGTACTTTTAGTGTTGCATCTGAAAAAGTCATCATCAAAACCAAGGTTACCCAGGGTTTGCACCCATAAGTTTAACCAAATTTTGGTGTTACATCTAAAAAAGTCATCACCAAACTCAAAGTCACCTAGGGTTTGCACCCATAAGTTTGGCCAACATTTAAAACTCTGATAAAATATGTTTGTGAATAAATGAATCATTTCCCCATAGACAATTATGGGGAATAATAATAATTTCCTCTGTTAATGTGAGAGAATTAATTGGTGAAATATTTTAGGAAAAAAGTCAGTAACATTTAAAAAATGTAAAATATTCATACTGACTCAGTTTCCTCATTAAAATGCATTCCTTATAAGTAATTATATGTACTTGTCCCAGAATTTATGCTCAGAGATATTGATTGTATTTACAAGAATAATAGCCACAAAAGATAAACAAATATTTGTTCATCAGAAGATCTGTTCAATTTGTTATTGCACAGAAATAAATTAGAATTCTAGGAAGTAGTCCCCAAAGTAAGATGGATCTATTAACATTTGTGCTGTCATGGAAAGATCTTGGATCCATTTCAATACGTGATTATACTGGCATGTTAGGGATGCCATAGCAATGTACCACAGCTGGGATGACATAAACAACAGAAATATATTGTCTCACAGTTTTGGAGTCTGGTAGTCGAAAAGCAAGGTGTATACAAGGTTGATTCCTTCTGAGGGCTGTGATGAAAAGTTGTATTCCAGGCCTCTCTCCTTGCCTTGTAGATGGCTGTCTTCAGTCCATATCTGTTCACATTATCATCCTTCTACTCATATCTCTATGCCCAAATTTCCCCTTTTTAAAATGATTCCCATCATATTTGATTAGGGCCAGTGTTAATAACCTCATTTTAACTTGATTGCCTCTGAAATAATCCTATCTCTAAATAATGTCACATTTTTAATTTCAAGGTAGAATTTTAGGGGAATGCAATTGAACCTGTCATAGTGGCAAAGGCAAGTGGCATACTTAGATATATATCATTACTCATGTTTAGTTATATTTATACACACATATATATATGCATATATATTTTTATATATGTATATATAGGCATATATATACACACATATACATTACCACATCTATCTTTTAAAAACTTGAAATTAGCTTTAAAAATGTACACACCACATTGTGGAAAGTTCTGAGTAGGGGGCTGATTTTTGGAGGAAATTTGCAGAGAAGAGAATTGTGATTTCTATGTATTTTTATTATTTTTTTGCAACAATAATATATGCAGTATTTATTGGTAAGAAAAGCATTAAAGTAAGCCTAATACAAGGAAAAGGAGCAGTGTAGTAGTCAGATAAAGTAACAGTGAGCTAATGGAATGAAAACATCTCCTGAAATTTAAATGGTTTAACACAACAAGTTTATTTTTGTGCATATAAATTCTGATTTTAGTTGGCAGGGTATTATGAG